ATCAATAGTTAGGTGAACAAGATAATCTTTCTTCCCTGGTAGAATTATTCTTAGGACTGATAATTATATGACGCAGAGGAATTTCCATACATGTCAAGCCCTTAGAAAGTGATCAAAGATACTTATGATCAGTAAAAGGTTTTTTCTAGTTTACTGTTATCTGTTGAGAAAATATGTATTATTAATAAATATCAGTAATATCAAATTATTTACGACTGTTTCAGAAATTTATGTCATCGTTTGTGATACAATAAACTAGTGACATGAAGATCAGAAATAGAAGAACATGATTCATGGTGAAATAACGTGGGGTTTCTAAAAAAATATCTACGGGATTTATTTTGTTGGATCAAAACTTGTTGTTACGATAAAAAAACAGAGTGATTACCGGTAAGTTCTATGTACATGCCTCTAGGATATATTAATTATATGTTTACAATCTATTAATAATACGTATATTCAAAATGATGTAATATATTTAATCTACCTTATTTTATTCAAGTAGGTGGTATGTGAAAATTTTTCTGATTTGAAAGTAGTCCTAATCACAAACAGATATCAACTGAAGAAATATCGAAAGTAAGAAAGCATTTGATAAATGTCTAATTCTGATTCGAGTCTCAACACCCGTAACTTGTGGAGTCAAGACCAATGACTTCACATCTCATAAATAACACGATACAATATTAAAAAAGGTGCAATCATTTAAGAACATTGATCAATTTTTATCCAGTATTATAATTAGTAAACTGCCTCGATTTTGAATTTGTTGACTCCATGATTTATAGTTTCTCATTGGAACTTAAAAAAAGAAAATCCAACTGATAACTGGGCATTAGTGAGAACGTGATTATTATTATTATTATTATTATTATTATTATTAATTGACGGATTGTAATTACTTGCCTTTATCTCTAAAGCTGTTCCTAGTACTATATTTTGCTTGCATCTACTATGGTTAACACAAATTGTTCTTTCCTGAAATGTCGTGAAATTCTTAATTTTTGTTACTTATTGTATTTTCAATAGTTAAAATCATGAGTCAATTGAAGCTAGACCACCATGGAAAACTTGGAAGCACTGGACGGCCTTTTCGTCCTAGTATGGGACTCTTCAGCAGTGCGCATCCACGACCCCTCAGCTCACTGAAGACAGTGGTGACGGTGGTGCAATTTCGTGGATTGGTTGAAGTTAGACATTAACACCATTGGATGCCGGCCCAGTGGTCTGATGGTTAAGCGCTCGAGCGCGAGACTGATAGGTCCTGGGTTTGAATCTCACGGGGGGCGGGATCGTGGATGTGCACTGTTGAAGAGTCCCATACTTGAACGAGATGGCCGTCCAGTGCTTCCAATTTTTTCTATGGTGGTCTAGCTTCATTTGACTCATGATTTCAACCATTGAAATTACTGAAATCTCCACAAAACCCCTTCTGATAATTATCGTATTTTTTTATTTACTGTAAAATCATCACTATTAAACATGAAAATAAATGTACTTATGAATAGTGATGTTATTTCACATAGTGATATTTTGTTCAGGACAACACATTGAATAAGGTTTTTATTATACCTTAATATTCCAACCTTCTCTATGTTTGTTTAAATAGATTTGTTATGTTAGAAGATATAATTATACACTTTTCCATAGATAAGTTATAATGATAATAATCTATACTGTTTAATGCTTTACATGTGAATTATGATAAAAACAATATAATTTAAAAACTGGTTGTTAATTAGATGGTAACAATGAAGCTAAGTAATGTTCAGAAATATTTTATAATTTCATTTACTAAGAGTTGTTTTTTTTTCTTTATGAATAGCCAGACCAGTATTCAGTTGACCTTGTTTTATTTAAGAAAAAAGAAAAAAAGAGAAACAGGAATTTCATTTCTGTTGTGTTTGTTAACAACTATATACGATGGTGTACCTGTATCACAAGATCTAACTGACTATAAAAGTTTGTTTTTTCTTATCATTACAATTATTTAGTTATTTATAGATTCCAGCTACTCATCATAATTAATTAGAGAATTATTATTGAGTTTTCTGTGCCAGTTGAACTAGTGACATTTTATTTGTGATGATCATACGGAATAAGTTCATATGTTTACCATTTAAATTATTGTTGTTTACCTATTTGTACTTTTTTCTTCTAAAATAAAAGCTTAAGCTATGTGTCCGAGAACAAATGATTCATTAAAGAAGATTCTATTAAGTTAATAAAAATATATTAAGGTTACACCTTACCTGGAACGAAGAAGAACAACTAGTCCGAATGGATTCGCTCCAAAGATCTTTAAGGATGGTGGTCCAGTCTTATCGATTAGGTTGATTAATATTTTAGCTAAAATCTGGGAGTTGGACGTAATTCTATCTGACTGGTCACAATCACTGATTGTCTCATCCTGTGATAACCATAGAGGGATTATTTTGACTAATATGGCATCTAAAATACTGACCTCAATAATTATCGGGCACCTAACAAAGACTTGTGAACTGCAAACACGAGGAAATCAGGCTGACGTCAGACCTTGTTGTGACTGCATCGACCACATATTTACTATTCGTCAGATTTTAGAACACAGATATGCTTATTGGCGTCTTTCTTGACTTAAAAGCAGCATTTGACTTTGTGGACTGAGAAGTACTGTGACAGTGTCTGTCATTGAAAGGCGTACATCAGAAGTACCTAGACTTTGTGAAGGTTTTTTACTCAAACAGTACCAGTCGAGTGAGAGCTTATGGAGAACTGTCATCTGCTTTTACAACCTCAAGTAGTGTCTGTCAGGGCTGTCCACCATTTCCTTTTTTGTTCAATTTCATCATAGTCCCACTGATGGAAATAACATTCTTTTCGACTGGATTTTCAGTAATTGACCTCCTACCAGGAGGTTCACTTATCTTCTTAGAATACGCAGATGACACAGTTCTGTCTGGTGAAGATGCTGATAGAATGCAAGGTCTTTTGGTAGCACTGAGAAACGAGGCCAGAATGCTTGAGATGCGTTTCTTATCCTATAAATGCAAGTTGTTGCTTCATGGTTAGGTTGCACTGGCACCTGAAATAATCGTAGTGAGTGAATTAGTTGAACGTGTCTTGGACGTCTAATCAGCCTTAATAGGTTGGTGTCTGACGAAATCTCAGCACGGATTCAGAAAGCTCGTCTGGCTTTTGCCAACTTACGTCACCTGCGGTGAAGGCGAGATATCCGTCTATCAATAAAAGGACGGGTATACTGCGCGGCAGTCCGTTCTGTTTTAATTTACGGCAGCGAAACATGGTCATTAAGAGTAGAAGACACTCGTAAGCTACTAGTATTTGACCACAGATGCCTTAGAAATATTGCTGGCATCTGTTGGGATCACCGGGTAAGTAATAGTGAGGTTAGACGCAGGGTATTAGGGAATGATGGTAAATCAGTTGATGAGGTTATGAATCTTCATCGACTGAGATGGTTGGGCCACGTATTACGTATGCCTGAACACCGATTACCACGACGTGCAATGCTAACCGGGGTAGGGGATGGTTGGAAGAAAGTTAGGGGCGGCCAAACCAAAACGTGGCATCAGTGCCTGAAGTCACTAACTTCTAGTCTGAGCCACGTTGGTAGATGCAGACTACTTGGTTGGGGTCCGCGTGACTTTCATAACCAATGGTTGGAGACTCTTGGTGACATGGCTCAGAATCGATCACAGTGGCGTCAGTGTATACACTCTTTGTCTTCCCTTAAACCGTGAGATTAAAATTGCTTCATATCTTTCTTTCTACGAACTAATTCTTTCTTCCTGTACTATATCCTTATACACAATCTTTCTTTTATATATTACCACCATTGAATTAAGTGCTTCTATGAATCCGGTGTTCATCTTGCTGTGCTAATGTGGTATGGCAACTTGGACCGATGCAAATATATGCCTGGTTCTACGTTATAGCTGACTAACGTAGATTGAAGTTACAGTATAACAATAAAATTTAACTGTTGTTGTCGATGTAATATCTTATGTCGTTGAATCACATCAGTTTTTATTAAAAAAATTATCTAGAAATTATATAAATCTTTAAAAATTCCCTTCAGAAAATGTCACTTGAAATTCTAGGTTTTTAGTTTAATATTTAACGAAAATGATGAACTACTTATGTTGTGAGGTTTCTTTTTCATCCTTTCTTTACATAAATGACCACTAATGAAAAGCAAACTTCATAATATAATTAGTTATTTCATCTAAATACATACACATACATTGAATATGGAAATGTTGAGATATAGTTTCCTTTAATTGGTATTACTTAGTTTATTATTTTGATAATTAATTAATCTCACAGCGAACCGATCTATCATTCACTGATCTAGGAAATGTTACTGATAAACAATTATTTCTTTAAATTTTTCCATGAAGTAAACATTCTAATGAAAACTAATAGATTATGTCATGGTTAGAATATACTGAAAATTCTCAGTTCTGACTGATTGACTGACTGAATAAGGCTTTGAATATTGAATATAGTTGATAAATAAACTTTTTAATGTTCTTATAAGATATGACGTGGAGGGAATATAGAACATTTATAAACCTTTTCATCAGACAATAGATAGATTTAATTGTTCATAGTATTGTTGTATGAATCACACTGTTTGTAATGATAATGTGTTGTTTACCTGAAATTTGAACCATTTTAATCTTTATCTATAAATTATAACAATGATGAATCGGTCATTCTGTCTAATTTATTGATAAATGAATTGATTCTCGGTACTTATTCTGTTCTATTGTTCATTTTGAAAATATAAAAATGTAGTTGTTCAACTAAATACTTTTATCTTCACTACCTTGTTTCCCATGATTTTATATTAGATAAACCTAATTACAAAAAAGTTTTAAGTGACATTTATTAAACAGTTCATTTCATCAGTCAACTTTTTAAACTTAATATCCACAAGCATAAAGAAAGTTTAAGGTCATATTCATAAACTATCTTCTATTATATCATATTAAATGTTTGTTTATTTCTATTCTAAAAATGTCTTATCATTATCATTATCAATATCATCATCATCATCATCATCATCATCATCATCATCATCATCATCATCATCATCATCATCATCATCATCATCATCATCATCATCATCATCATCATCATCATCATCATCATCATCATCATCATCATCATCATCATCATCATCATCATCATCATCATCATCATCATCATCATCATCATCATCATCATCATCATCATCATCATCATCATCATCATCATCATCATCATCATCATCATCATCATCATCATCATCATCATCATCATCATCATCATCATCATCATCATCATCATCATCATCATCATCATCATCATCATCATCATCATCATCATCATCATCATCATCATCATCATCATCATCATCATCATCATCATCATCATCATCATCATCATCATCATCATCATCATCATCATCATCATCATCATCATCATCATCATCATCATCATCATCATCATCATCATCATCATCATCATCATCATCATCATCATCATCATCATCATCATCATCATCATCATCATCATCATCATCATCATCATCATCATCATCATCATCATCATCATCATCATCATCATCATCATCATCATCATCATCATCATCATCATCATCATCATCATCATCATCATCATCATCATCATCATCATCATCATCATCATCATCATCATCATCATCATCATCATCATCATCATCATCATCATCATCATCATCATCATCATCATCATCATCATCATCATCATCATCATCATCATCATCATCATCATCATCATCATCATCATCATCATCATCATCATCATCATCATCATCATCATCATCATCATCATCATCATCATCATCATCATCATCATCATCATCATCATCATCATCATCATCATCATCATCATCATCATCATCATCATCATCATCATCATCATCATCATCATCATCATCATCATCATCATCATCATCATCATCATCATCATCATCATCATCATCATCATCATCATCATCATCATCATCATCATCATCATCATCATCATCATCATCATCATCATCATCATCATCATCATCATCATCATCATCATCATCATCATCATCATCATCATCATCATCATCATCATCATCATCATCATCATCATCATCATCATCATCATCATCATCATCATCATCATCATCATCATCATCATCATCATCATCATCATCATCATCATCATCATCATCATCATCATCATCATCATCATCATCATCATCATCATCATCATCATCATCATCATCATCATCATCATCATCATCATCATCATCATCATCATCATCATCATCATCATCATCATCATCATCATCATCATCATCATCATCATCATCATCATCATCATCATCATCATCATCATCATCATCATCATCATCATCATCATCATCATCATCATCATCATCATCATCATCATCATCATCATCATCATCATCATCATCATCATCATCATCATCATCATCATCATCATCATCATCATCATCATCATCATCATCATCATCATCATCATCATCATCATCATCATCATCATCATCATCATCATCATCATCATCATCATCATCATCATCATCATCATCATCATCATCATCATCATCATCATCATCATCATCATCATCATCATCATCATCATCATCATCATCATCATCATCATCATCATCATCATCATCATCATCATCATCATCATCATCATCATCATCATCATCATCATCATCATCATCATCATCATCATCATCATCATCATCATCATCATCATCATCATCATCATCATCATCATCATCATCATCATCATCATCATCATCATCATCATCATCATCATCATCATCATCATCATCATCATCATCATCATCATCATCATCATCATCATCATCATCATCATCATCATCATCATCATCATCATCATCATCATCATCATCATCATCATCATCATCATCATCATCATCATCATCATCATCATCATCATCATCATCATCATCATCATCATCATCATCATCATCATCATCATCATCATCATCATCATCATCATCATCATCATCATCATCATCATCATCATCATCATCATCATCATCATCATCATCATCATCATCATCATCATCATCATCATCATCATCATCATCATCATCATCATCATCATCATCATCATCATCATCATCATCATCATCATCATCATCATCATCATCATCATCATCATCATCATCATCATCATCATCATCATCATCATCATCATCATCATCATCATCATCATCATCATCATCATCATCATCATCATCATCATCATCATCATCATCATCATCATCATCATCATCATCATCATCATCATCATCATCATCATCATCATCATCATCATCATCATCATCATCATCATCATCATCATCATCATCATCATCATCATCATCATCATCATCATCATCATCATCATCATCATCATCATCATCATCATCATCATCATCATCATCATCATCATCATCATCATCATCATCATCATCATCATCATCATCATCATCATCATCATCATCATCATCATCATCATCATCATCATCATCATCATCATCATCATCATCATCATCATCATCATCATCATCATCATCATCATCATCATCATCATCATCATCATCATCATCATCATCATCATCATCATCATCATCATCATCATCATCATCATCATCATCATCATCATCATCATCATCATCATCATCATCATCATCATCATCATCATCATCATCATCATCATCATCATCATCATCATCATCATCATCATCATCATCATCATCATCATCATCATCATCATCATCATCATCATCATCATCATCATCATCATCATCATCATCATCATCATCATCATCATCATCATCATCATCATCATCATCATCATCATCATCATCATCATCATCATCATCATCATCATCATCATCATCATCATCATCATCATCATCATCATCATCATCATCATCATCATCATCATCATCATCATCATCATCATCATCATCATCATCATCATCATCATCATCATCATCATCATCATCATCATCATCATCATCATCATCATCATCATCATCATCATCATCATCATCATCATCATCATCATCATCATCATCATCATCATCATCATCATCATCATCATCATCATCATCATCATCATCATCATCATCATCATCATCATCATCATCATCATCATCATCATCATCATCATCATCATCATCATCATCATCATCATCATCATCATCATCATCATCATCATCATCATCATCATCATCATCATCATCATCATCATCATCATCATCATCATCATCATCATCATCATCATCATCATCATCATCATCATCATCATCATCATCATCATCATCATCATCATCATCATCATCATCATCATCATCATCATCATCATCATCATCATCATCATCATCATCATCATCATCATCATCATCATCATCATCATCATCATCATCATCATCATCATCATCATCATCATCATCATCATCATCATCATCATCATCATCATCATCATCATCATCATCATCATCATCATCATCATCATCATCATCATCATCATCATCATCATCATCATCATCATCATCATCATCATCATCATCATCATCATCATCATCATCATCATCATCATCATCATCATCATCATCATCATCATCATCATCATCATCATCATCATCATCATCATCATCATCATCATCATCATCATCATCATCATCATCATCATCATCATCATCATCATCATCATCATCATCATCATCATCATCATCATCATCATCATCATCATCATCATCATCATCATCATCATCATCATCATCATCATCATCATCATCATCATCATCATCATCATCATCATCATCATCATCATCATCATCATCATCATCATCATCATCATCATCATCATCATCATCATCATCATCATCATCATCATCATCATCATCATCATCATCATCATCATCATCATCATCATCATCATCATCATCATCATCATCATCATCATCATCATCATCATCATCATCATCATCATCATCATCATCATCATCATCATCATCATCATCATCATCATCATCATCATCATCATCATCATCATCATCATCATCATCATCATCATCATCATCATCATCATCATCATCATCATCATCATCATCATCATCATCATCATCATCATCATCATCATCATCATCATCATCATCATCATCATCATCATCATCATCATCATCATCATCATCATCATCATCATCATCATCATCATCATCATCATCATCATCATCATCATCATCATCATCATCATCATCATCATCATCATCATCATCATCATCATCATCATCATCATCATCATCATCATCATCATCATCATCATCATCATCATCATCATCATCATCATCATCATCATCATCATCATCATCATCATCATCATCATCATCATCATCATCATCATCATCATCATCATCATCATCATCATCATCATCATCATCATCATCATCATCATCATCATCATCATCATCATCATCATCATCATCATCATCATCATCATCATCATCATCATCATCATCATCATCATCATCATCATCATCATCATCATCATCATCATCATCATCATCATCATCATCATCATCATCATCATCATCATCATCATCATCATCATCATCATCATCATCATCATCATCATCATCATCATCATCATCATCATCATCATCATCATCATCATCATCATCATCATCATCATCATCATCATCATCATCATCATCATCATCATCATCATCATCATCATCATCATCATCATCATCATCATCATCATCATCATCATCATCATCATCATCATCATCATCATCATCATCATCATCATCATCATCATCATCATCATCATCATCATCATCATCATCATCATCATCATCATCATCATCATCATCATCATCATCATCATCATCATCATCATCATCATCATCATCATCATCATCATCATCATCATCATCATCATCATCATCATCATCATCATCATCATCATCATCATCATCATCATCATCATCATCATCATCATCATCATCATCATCATCATCATCATCATCATCATCATCATCATCATCATCATCATCATCATCATCATCATCATCATCATCATCATCATCATCATCATCATCATCATCATCATCATCATCATCATCATCATCATCATCATCATCATCATCATCATCATCATCATCATCATCATCATCATCATCATCATCATCATCATCATCATCATCATCATCATCATCATCATCATCATCATCATCATCATCATCATCATCATCATCATCATCATCATCATCATCATCATCATCATCATCATCATCATCATCATCATCATCATCATCATCATCATCATCATCATCATCATCATCATCATCATCATCATCATCATCATCATCATCATCATCATCATCATCATCATCATCATCATCATCATCATCATCATCATCATCATCATCATCATCATCATCATCATCATCATCATCATCATCATCATCACATCATCATCATCATCATCATCATCATCATCATCATCATCATCATCATCATCATCATCATCATCATCATCATCATCATCATCATCATCATCATCATCATCATCATCATCATCATCATCATCATCATCATCATCATCATCATCATCATCATCATCATCATCATCATCATCATCATCATCATCATCATCATCATCATCATCATCATCATCATCATCATCATCATCATCATCATCATCATCATCATCATCATCATCATCATCATCATCATCATCATCATCATCATCATCATCATCATCATCATCATCATCATCATCATCATCATCATCATCATCATCATCATCATCATCATCATCATCATCATCATCATCATCATCATCATCATCATCATCATCATCATCATCATCATCATCATCATCATCATCATCATCATCATCATCATCATCATCATCATCATCATCATCATCATCATCATCATCATCATCATCATCATCATCATCATCATCATCATCATCATCATCATCATCATCATCATCATCATCATCATCATCATCATCATCATCATCATCATCATCATCATCATCATCATCATCATCATCATCATCATCATCATCATCATCATCATCATCATCATCATCATCATCATCATCATCATCATCATCATCATCATCATCATCATCATCATCATCATCATCATCATCATCATCATCATCATCATCATCATCATCATCATCATCATCATCATCATCATCATCATCATCATCATCATCATCATCATCATCATCATCATCATCATCATCATCATCATCATCATCATCATCATCATCATCATCATCATCATCATCATCATCATCATCATCATCATCATCATCATCATCATCATCATCATCTCATCATCATCATCATCATCATCATCATCATCATCATCATCATCATCATCATCATCATCATCATCATCATCATCATCATCATCATCATCATCATCATCATCATCATCATCATCCATCATCATCATCATCATCATCATCATCATCATCATCATCATCATCATCATCATCCTCATCATCATCATCATCATCATCATCATCATCATCATCATCATCATCATCATCATCATCATCATCATCATCATCATCATCATCATCATCATCATCATCATCATCATCATCATCATCATCATCATCATCAGCATCATCATCATCATCATCATCATCATCATCATCATCATCATCATCATCATCATCATCATCATCATCATCATCATCATCATCATCATCATCATCATCATCATCATCATCATCATCATCATCATCATCATCATCATCATCATCATCATCATCATCATCATCATCATCATCATCATCATCATCATCATCATCATCATCATCATCATCATCATCATCATCATCATCATCATCATCATCATCATCATCATCATCATCATCATCATCATCTCATCATCATCATCATCATCATCATCATCATCATCATCATCATCATCATCATCATCATCATCATCATCATCATCATCATCATCATCATCATCATCATCATCATCATCATCATCATCATCATCATCATCATCATCATCATCATCATCATCATCATCATCATCATCATCATCATCATCATCATCATCATCATCATCATCATCATCATCATCATCATCATCATCATCATCATCATCATCATCATCATCATCATCATCATCATCATCATCATCATCATCATCATCATCATCATCATCATCATCATCATCATCATCATCATCATCATCATCATCATCATCATCATCATCATCATCATCATCATCATCATCATCATCATCATCATCATCATCATCATCATCATCATCATCATCATCATCATCATCATCATCATCATCATCATCATCATCATCATCATCATCATCATCATCATCATCATCATCATCATCATCATCATCATCATCATCATCATCATCATCATCATCATCATCTCATCATCATCATCATCATCATCATCATCATCATCATCATCATCATCATCATCATCATCATCATCATCCTCATCATCATCATCATCATCATCATCATCATCATCATCATCATCATCATCATCATCATCATCATCATCATCATCATCATCATCATCATCATCATCATCATCATCATCATCATCATCATCATCATCATCATCATCATCATCATCATCATCATCATCATCATCATCATCATCATCATCATCATCATCATCATCATCATCATCATCATCATCATCATCATCATCATCATCATCATCATCATCATCATCATCATCATCATCATCATCATCATCATCATCATCATCATCATCATCATCATCATCATCATCATCATCATCATCATCATCATCATCATCATCATCATCATCATCATCATCATCATCATCATCATCATCATCATCATCATCATCATCATCATCATCATCATCATCATCATCATCATCATCATCATCATCATCATCATCATCATCATCATCATCATCATCATCATCATCATCATCATCATCATCATCATCATCATCATCATCATCATCATCATCATCATCATCATCATCATCATCATCATCATCATCATCATCATCATCATCATCATCATCATCATCATCATCATCATCATCATCATCATCATCATCATCATCATCATCATCATCATCATCATCATCATCATCATCATCATCATCATCATCATCATCATCATCATCATCATCATCATCATCATCATCATCATCATCATCATCATCATCATCATCATCATCATCATCATCATCATCATCATCATCATCATCATCATCATCATCATCATCATCATCATCATCATCATCATCATCATCATCATCATCATCATCATCATCATCATCATCATCATCATCATCATCCTCATCATCATCATCATCATCATCATCATCATCATCATCATCATCATCATCATCATCATCATCATCATCATCATCATCATCATCATCATCATCATCATCATCATCATCATCATCATCATCATCATCATCATCATCATCATCATCATCATCATCATCATCATCATCATCATCATCATCATCATCATCATCATCATCATCATCATCATCATCATCATCATCATCATCATCATCATCATCATCATCATCATCATCATCATCATCATCATCATCATCATCATCATCATCATCATCATCATCATCATCATCATCATCATCATCATCATCATCATCATCATCATCATCATCATCATCATCATCATCATCATCATCATCATCATCATCATCATCATCATCATCATCATCATCATCATCATCATCATCATCATCATCATCATCATCATCATCATCATCATCATCATCATCATCATCATCATCATCATCATCATCATCATCATCATCATCATCATCATCATCATCATCATCATCATCATCATCATCATCATCATCATCATCATCATCATCATCATCATCATCATCATCATCATCATCATCATCATCATCATCATCATCATCATCATCATCATCATCATCATCATCATCATCATCATCATCATCATCATCATCATCATCATCATCATCATCATCATCATCATCATCATCATCATCATCATCATCATCATCATCATCATCATCATCATCATCATCATCATCATCATCATCATCATCATCATCATCATCATCATCATCATCATCATCATCATCATCATCATCATCATCATCATCATCATCATCATCATCATCATCATCATCATCATCATCATCATCATCATCATCATCATCATCATCATCATCATCATCATCATCATCATCATCATCATCATCATCATCATCATCATCATCATCATCATCATCATCATCATCATCATCATCATCATCATCATCATCATCATCATCATCATCATCATCATCATCATCATCATCATCATCATCATCATCATCATCATCATCATCATCATCATCATCATCATCATCATCATCATCATCATCATCATCATCATCATCATCATCATCATCATCATCATCATCATCATCATCATCATCATCATCATCATCATCATCATCATCATCATCATCATCATCATCATCATCATCATCATCATCATCATCATCATCATCATCATCATCATCATCATCATCATCATCATCATCATCATCATCATCATCATCATCATCATCATCATCATCATCATCATCATCATCATCATCATCATCATCATCATCATCATCATCATCATCATCATCATCATCATCATCATCATCATCATCATCATCATCATCATCATCATCATCATCATCATCATCATCATCATCATCATCATCATCATCATCATCATCATCATCATCATCATCATCATCATCATCATCATCATCATCATCATCATCATCATCATCATCATCATCATCATCATCATCATCATCATCATCATCATCATCATCATCATCATCATCATCATCATCATCATCATCATCATCAT